ACACTCTCACACAATGGATGCTTAACAGCAGCCATTAGCAGCTTTGGCGAGTAGCTGTGCACACACACTTTCACACACGCACGCACATCCACACACCACACACACACACATGACACAACACAGCTATGCCATGACTTTGGTTACAACAATGGCAATGTCTTTTTGGCCAGCGCAAAACGGCGAGCGCACTTTATGAGCGCTGCATGCATAAAGTGCAAAGGCAACCACTGTGTACCCTCCTATCCCCTCCGCCCATTGCTCATCCTGTGGTGTGGTCTAAACCATCTCTTTTCCAATTTCCGGCAGTAGCTCAGGAAAACAGAAGCAGCAGTAGTAGCCAAGTGAGTTGAGACCATTTAGCTGCATTGTATTTGTGAGTACGCCTCGCTAGCGTGTGGCGTGGAGCATAACTCACACAACACACAATACACACAGTCACACTCGTACATTCGCACACACACACACATACAAACACACAACTCACATTGGCCAAAAATCGCATCAGAAGCGCATTAATAATGTGCTCATGCAATCGAAAATGCGATGCGTGTGCCGCCGCCTTTTTTGGCCAAAACCATGATGCTTGTCCGTAATCAGGAGTATGGCCATAATGGCAGCAATATGCGGCATTCTAATGAGCAGCAGCTTAAGCGGTGAATTTAACTCCATAGTAGCCCTCCCTCCTCCCCTACCATTTTGTAATCTTGTCAAGTAATTAATTTGTTCAATGACATCCTCAAGGTGTAAGCGAAACCATTTAAAGTTGATGACATCCACGACGCAGATACTTGAAAACTCAAAAGTTACTACAAAGTGAAGGGACATGGCAGGCTGCAGGCGGCAGGCGGCAGGTGGCAAGCGTGTACGTGGGTACAGGGGGCTTGGGTGGCTCAAGAAACTTGTCATGCGTGCTCGGCGAAGTGTGTATCCGGCGTATTGCGCAAAGACAGCCAAGACAAATCGCACGCACCAAACCCACGTGCGAGGGCTGTCCGATAAGTAACATAAAAGTATAAATTGTGTAATACGAAGATAGATGGTGTATTGTAAAAATAATAATAAAAATTATAATTAATAATAATAATAGTTATAATATTAAATAATTTATATAATACAATATATTACAAATTAAATTATATTTAAGGTAGCAACTTTTGGGAGCGTTTAGGTTTAGATATATTCTCTTCATTGTGGGCAACTATATAGTTTAACAATGCAACATATGTTTTGCGTTTATTCTTTTAAGAAAATTGATTTATTTATCTATTTATTTTGATAGAGAAAGAAAATTCAAAAAGCCCTATATATGTTGTCATGATTAGTAGGATATCAAAAATAAATTGGTCATATATGAAAGTTTTTAAAACATATTGAATGTGCTTAAATATATGGTAAAAGCCTTATTATAGGAAAAAATAAATATAAGGAATCAATATCAATTAATTTCAATAAAAGAAATCAAAGAACTGAGCCCCATACTTTTAGTAAATAGGCAATAAGTATTCGGAAGTCAATTAAGATATACCAACTCACATAAAAACAAAATTTATTTTAATATACTTAATATTTACGGAGTTGAAAGTTTCCATCAAACAAATAGTCAATGATTTCGTAACTTTTGTGGAAACCTACGCCAATAGGACTTTACCTAAGCCCCAGAACTCAAAGTATCTGCTCTTCTGGTTGCGTGTGAAATCGGAAGTGGCTGCTGCTGACTTAGTTGTAGTCGGTCTCAAGTCGTTGGTCTCTCGGTCTTCTGGTCTCTTGGTCTGTTGGTCTTTGGGTGTCTCGGTCGGTGTGTCGATGTCGGCACTGGGCGACAGGTGCTTCCGCATTTGAATGTCAACGGAAACCGCAACGGTACAACTTAGATAAATGTTTGCTCTTTAAATATGTGCGCTGTCGCTAAAGCTGCCACTGGGCAGAAGCGAGTACAAGTATGTCAGTATGTACCCACCCACAGACGCACACACGCATACAAGTGCATACGTATCATAAGGCACCTTATTGGGCCATGTTTGAGCAAAGGTACTCGCACTTATGTGTCAAGCTAGCTAGAGCACCCAGCAGCATGTGAAGTGGTTTTTGCCTTGGCTATGGCTGCGGTTATGGACCAGGCTTGATTGGATAGATCTTTGCTTAGCTGCGCGAATGGCAAGTTAAAGATAGCCAAGGTGTTTGCTCTAGCATGCACTGGAAAATTGATTAAGCACATGGAAATGTGTGTTAATTATAGATAAAGCCACATGCAGTTGATGGGGCACACTTGTATAGACTTGTATATAGTTTGCAAAAAATATACTAAATATTATTTACACATTTTCTTATATTTTTAACCTTTTTAAACTTATGTGTTTTGATTTTTATGAAATAATATTGCCAAGTTCTTTGTGTGTCTTAAAATAAAATAAAATATTATGGAACTCTGAAAATCACGAATACATTCTTTAGAAATGTAACTTACATTTTTTTATTATGTACAGAAATAATAATTAATTAGTCCAATGGCAAAGTTTTGAATTCAAAGTTTCATTTTCACTATTCCAAAAGAACAAAGTCAACGATTTATTAATTAAACCGACACAAAGTCGAAAATTCGATTAAATTTAAATCAATTCTCGTTCAATTTAGACAAATGCCTAAGCGATTTAAAATAAGCCCAAAATAAAATTGCAATCACCTGCCGCTTTCCAAGCGAACACACAAAAAACAAAATCAAATGCTAAATTGCTAAAAATAGAATCAATTAACAATAAATGTGTACAATTAAATTCAATGTGTAGAACAGAGACATTTTTCAGCGTCACATATGAAAACAGGCCACTTAATTAAGCCCGGACTGCAAAAGGAACCGTACTCAAATTCAACCCAGAAGCCACATTTACACTGAACAACATGGTACAACGTGTTGCCATTGCGCCGTTGCCACATTTTAAGTGCGAAACAATGTAATTTCAGGGTAATCAGTCTGGGCTGGTTTAGAATTTAATACTGGGCTCTCAAACTAGAGAATCTACTTTCCCAAAAAAAAAAGAAAAAACAACCGACTAACTACACAAATTTCCGGTTGTGCGCACAAAGCCAATGGGCAGAGGAGTCCAAAAGGAGACATCGCATCGGGTTCAACCGAGGCACTTGGCCAGAAAAATGTCAGTTTACAATTTTCTATGCCATTTAAAATAAATGAAAATTGCGCTCGTTCGGGCTCTGGGTGTGGCATAGTTTTAGGCGCTGGCCAGCGCGTGTTAACGTAAATAAATTACATAGATACACACACACACGGACACACACTCGTAGCGACAATCAAGTGGTCAGTGGCATGCAGCTTATAAATCAGCGCAAAGCGCAAAACGTAGCTGCCTTTTGGGGCACAGAGCCATCGAGATAGATGGCCAGCAATGCGGGTCCGGACCGGCCCCGGGTCAGAGAAATTGACAGAGTTTGAGTTTGCGATGGATGAGCGAATGAATGAATAGATGGATGGATCGCCTGTATAAATGGTTAGCTATTTAGTTTCGGTTTGCTGCGGTTTGACTTTGTTTTTGTTTGCCAGTGGTGCGAGTTGGGGCCACTGATTGGTCGGCTTATGATGGCCCCCATGCTTTTAATGTTGTACGGGGTCAATAATAGCGAGCGATACACATTCGAGCCACATTCTCATTTTGACAAACTGCATGGCAATTAAAAATTAACTTGCAACTAGTTGGGTCGCTGACAAAGCTCTTTAACTATTTTGTGGCAATTGACAGACAAATACCTATTTACTTGGGACTATTTCAATTAACATTGTTAATGTTGATAAATTAATTTAATTTTTGCATTTCACAAGATATTAGATAAGTTATCTAGCTTCAATTTATAATCAGTTAATAGCATAAGTTTAACTGTTTTATACGTCTTCTGACGTCTGTGGGATTATTTTTAAAGACTGGAAAGTAGTCTAAACACACACAAAAAATATAGTCAAAAAATGCTTCTAGTGCACTCTCTCTTTTTTTCCTATCTCTCTCTCCCTCGCTCTCTCTATCAATAATTTATTTCTATGATATATGCATACTTATAGTAATTAAAGTCTTACATTTATGCCTTTTTGTATGCAAATATGAATATTTGCTTAAGCAAGGTAGAGGTATAATACATATGCATATGAATGTAGGTGGACTGGACATTTAGCTAAATTTTTTCACAATTAATCTTGTTAACTTGATATTCGTGAGCACCCTTTCTCTCTCTATGATGACAACAAGTCACACTTCATCTCTAGTGAAAATGTGCTTATAACTACTATGTATGTCAGCCGGAGTATAAGTTTTCAGGTCGTTAAATACGTTCTACAAGTCGACTGCTTAACTGGCAATTGTGGCATCTCTCAGAGGTGTGTGCAGACCCCCCATGAAAACGTTCATACTCATAAATACATGCCCAACATTCCTTGGGTCCATTAACAACAGTAACTATTTAAGTATCTACCGTAGTTGTCTTGTAGCTGCTTGAGTGCCACACTTGGGATACCAGAGCCTCTGCAAGAGCTCGGCCAGGGCCCAAGTAGACAAGGAAACTGTAGCAATGCCATAGATGGCTGTGGCCATGCGAGTAACTGGTACAAAGCAGATCGGCCCAAGGACCAAACGAAAACTGCACACACTTAACGCTGGCCAGGGGCTGGCCGCCTTAACTGAGTGTCATATGTATATATATACATGTCTTTATCTATATGAGTTAAAGCTTAAAACTCATGTGCTTAAAGAAAGGGGGAAACGAGGATATAGCTCTGCAAGTATTTTCTCAAGTTATTTAAATGTGTTTGGGTTGCATATTTTTTGGCTTTCGCGCAATTCGCCGCCACCAGAGCCCCAAGCAATCAACTGTCTGACGCGAGTCGGAATTGCAGCGGGAAAAACACAGCTTCCCTTGGAGCAAACCAAAAAAAAAAAGCCCCAAACCCGGACGAAGATAAGCTACAAAAGCAAGAATCGTACGCTCAGCTGGAGCCAGTTACCATGAGAGCAGCAACGTCTCAAGTCGAGCAGCTAGTTTTAGTGCTCATCGTTTGTCTGGCGGCATTAGGCAGCAGCCAGGCATACGAAGTGCCCAGGGCCACAGTCAAAGTGAATACGCCGCACGGTTTTGAGGTCTCCGTACCAGACGAGCCGGGCATTACGCTGTTCGCCTTCCATGGCAAACTCAATGCAGAAATGGAAGATCTCGGCGATCAAACCTGGGCCACCGACGTCGTCAGTGCACGCAACGGGCGCTGGACATATCACAATCGCCTGCAAAAGCTGCAGCCGGGAGATGTGCTCTACTACTGGACAACCGTCAGATACAATGGCCTGGACTATCATAGCTATAACCAGCGACATCAGGTGGGCCAAGACGATGCTAAAGGCCAAAATGTCACCATCGATCTGACCAGCAAAGGAGGATCCCATTTACCAATCAATATCAATGGAAACCCCACCATAAATATATTTGTTTCATAATCACGCAGACACCTTGTGGAAGTTCCCAGCCGGAAGTGACAAAACAATCAGCAAATAACTTAATTCTAGCAACGCGAATTCTTAAAACTTTTTTAAATTCCAAGTGCCTTATTCCAAAGTATTAGTTAATCATGCGCTAATTTCATAAGCAAAACAACACAAAACAAAGTACAAAATGAACAAACAATTCGGAAATTGTTAAGCGAAAATAAAAAGTGCCCTCCAGTGTGCATTGTTATATATTAAATTATATAAGTAAGTTGTATATATATATAATATTTAAAAATATAAATTTTTGATTCAACAAAGCATGTTTCAGTTTTTTTTTGCATAAGTCTATAGTTGTACAGTCATAATCAGTAGCACATACGTCATCTGATCGTCTTTCGCAAAAACTGTTGTTCTTCAACTTGACGTTCTTGGTGGGAATCCCAACAGGTTACTTTTTATAATTTGTTTGATCATTTAGATTATGTTAATTGATTAGTATTTTGATAATTGTTTATAGTCTTGAATTGAGAAATATAATATTGTTAGGGAAGACGTAACGCATAAAAGCAGACGCTTTTGCCTGATTGGACCACTGTCTCATATAGCTTTCATAGATATGATTAATCCAAAAGTAAGTTCTTATATGCACAGTTTTTATTTGATTTTCAAAACATCTTGGCCAAATTAATCACATATCAGCTTTACCGTAAGTCATATATCGACAAGGGTGTTTAATCTTCGCCGTGACGAAGAAAGTATTTGTTTCTCGTTATTTTTTATAACATTTTTAAGCTGTGGACCATGTTCAGGCGAATATCAAATCGTGACCGTCTATGTGTCACCCAGTTTTAGAATTTGAGTAACGCGTAGTGACAAATCTTACGCTATCAAAACTTAATTTCTTGGTAAAAAAAAAAAAAACAGCAAGGAGTGGAATCATAACATTAAATTAAATCAAGTATACGCAACGTAAACACCTTTTCTTCAAATTTACAAAAATAAACTCAGCCCAGCTTTCGTTCACCTTTCATCATTCAAAGTTGACTGAATTTATTTTCCTATGTTAAATATAGGTAACAACAAATTTTGGACTCTGCACATGTCAAACTCATTTCGATTTGCATTGTTTTCCAAAGTGCCATAAATCAAAGGAGCACTTTGTCACAGATACCCAAGTAAGTATCCGGGCCGTATAAATCATTTTGAAAAGTTCTCCGCATGCGTGTGAAATACTGTGCGAGTAATGGCTGCTTCAAAATTACCGCAATGCATTGAAAATGCAAAGACTCACACTCAAGCAGCTAGGAGTGCACTAGTCGACAGTACTCGACTAAATGATACCCTGTGCACAGGTAAGAATTGGTCTGACATCTGCCAACATTTATTTCTAAATGCGAAGATATAATTAAAAATGATTTATGCATATAAAATCAATAAATGACTCTAGCAAAATTAAATTGAATAACGATAACCAACCTTTGTCTAACTGAAAACTGAAAAACCTGGTGGGTCTTTGCTCCCAAATTGAAATATAAGATTGAAAATATATCTATAACGATGTCAGGTGAATTATTAAGAATTTAAGCTTTTTAGATTTGAGTTAAGTGAGCGTGTCCTCACCTACTTATAAGCTTGAGTCTAAATCGACATAGATTTCCTTCAAGATAAATATTAATAATATTTAAAGTCTCATCTATTTCTGCCGTTACACATAGAAGCACAACTTCTGTATCCTTGTTTTTATACCCAAAATGGGCACAGGGTAAAAACGAGTAAACAAAAAAAAGACATAAGAAAAGAAATAAAAATAAAAAACTTGCTCAAACTATTCACGCAGGTAGTTCTGATATCAGAATTGAGCATTGGCCTTTTGGCAGCAAATATTCGAGTAAACAACTGCACAAAGGTTACTTTTGGCCCATTTAACTTTCACTTGAGCCAAACAAAAGCAGATAAAACTTTTTGCTTAGACAGAGAAGCACTATACAAAGTCACAAATCCAATCGGTTTTTATCGACACAAGTACTTAGAAGTTTTTTTTTCACTGAGCCAAAGTGCTGATATCTGTTGCTGCTATGGTACTTAAAGAAATGACAAATGGATATTGGTATTGTGTAATTGTAAGCTATAGTTTAAATTCTTATTTATTTAGTTATTAAGCGAGTATCTACTTAACATTAAAGGTCACTTAGTATAAATGCAGTTGAAGGCTCAACAGCAATGCTATCCCTCAGATAGCGAATATATAAATAAATAAAAATGCTATCCCCCAATTTAGTTTATTTTTTATGCCTTTTTTAACAATTCTAGGCGTATCATATTTATTTATCTTAATTCGCCTTTGGAATTATCAACAACTATCTGTAACAAGGGTAAAATTTGTTTCCATGTAATGGCAGACGTCTTTAACTAGCATCAACTTCACAAGAATATTATGTACTAATCCAAATGATCGGAAAACTGTTTGATAACAACCTTATCCTTTTTCAGCCAACTATCTACCAATTAAATGTTTTCGATTTCTATAGTTCCATAGAAGACAAAATATTTATTTATTTATTTATTTATTTAAGCTAAATTCTTATGAAGTAAAACTGGTGTTGTTAAGTACCTTTTGTTTTTACTAAGCCAATAAATCTACCTTTTGTGAAGTTTCCAATTTAAAAGAAATATTGTATGAATTTATTTATGATTTCATGGTGTATATCGTAGTATAAGGATTTCAGTTACTTTTAGGGATCTTCAATAAAGCTTAACTAAAGATCATGGTAAGCAGAGTAATGACAGTGTGTATCAAATAAGAGCTTCTATCGCAATAGAAGCTCTCTGCAAACTCATAAAATAAATACAAGCAGAAACTGATCCAACAAATATTTTTTCAGTCATCAGTTTCGTAAAGAGTGCATCGGATAGGTTTTTTGCAGTTTTATCCAATTAGCAGGCGAATAAAAGTATGCTCAAGATCACCCCTAACGCTTACAGCTAAGTTCGGCTAAGCCCAAAGGAAAGATTTAGCATATTTTAAGTACAAGGCAACGGCTGAATCTTTGACTAACTATAGAAAAGATGACGCAGCTGCTAAGCGTTAGTAGCCACACCTCCTGTATATGAGGAAGCAACTGCAGTTCGTTCAGTTTTCGCTTGACCTGTGTTCCTGACCGCTTTTAGTAGGTACCGTTGAGTGTAGCCAGCGTACCTAGATATGGCCAAAACAAAGCGAGAGCAATTGCAACAATTAAATAATGCCGTATACATAGTTTTGTATATAGCTTTTAGGTGCCACATATTAGGCATATTAATTAATGCAGACATTTGTCGCATCTGCATTTGTCACAGCTCATTTGCAGCAAATTAACCGTGTCGGCCAAAAGGTAGAACTAATTTAATTTTTCATATAACCAACAACTCGCACTTGCATAAGCGTAACTATTTATTTGTGCCCGTGTGTGTGTATGTTAGATGCGTATGTATGTGAAATAGGGGGCAGCTAAGCGACGCTGTCAGCAACATTTGCGAACTGTTCTCATTTTAGCGCAATGTGTGAGAATTACAAAATGCAAGCTAGCGGCAAGTTTGTGTCAGTTGCCACACACACACACACACGCGCACACTCGCACAGTCAAACACTCGCTCACCCCATTTAAAGCAAAGCTCACACTCATGCTTCATTTAACACGCACACAACCAGACACTTTGGACGCCATTTTGCACGTGGCAAGGCGTTTAAATGACTTGTGACAACTTTATGCGCAGCCCACAATCCCTGGAAAAATACAAAAAAAAAACGAAAGGAAAATAAATACTGTCACAAAATTATGCCATCAAGTTGCAAGCAGCTGAAGCATTAAAAGTGCAGCGGAAATATTTTCATGTTTACACTGCAAAACTGTGAAATATTATTCTCGCTGCTAATAATAATTAGATTCAAAATTAGATTCAAAATAATAAATGCTTGAAGAGAAATCAAATATATATTTTTAGTCTTCAATAAATTTAAATGTGTGTATTTAGCACATCATCACATATCAGAAACTAGAGAAGCTTATAGATTTCAAGTGTGCGTACAAGTTTCGCCGTCGCATTCATTTTTCCCTTCTTGATTCTGCTCGAGACCTTCTTTCCTGCCTAAGGAACTTTGAGTTTTCTTAACCTTTTTTTTATCACAAGGTTTATCAATGTTCTGTTTAGCCCCCTTTTCATTCTGCTCCTCACTGTCACTGTTGGAAGAGCTGCTCTCTTCTTGTTCAGTTTTTGAAGAAATTATTTGAACGCGAATTTCAGTCTTAAAAATTTTTGCCGAATGATCAGTAGTATCCTTAAGATTTTGTTCTCCACCTTGAGTCTGATTCTGACATCCATCACTTAGATCTTTTCCATTACCTGAAACTGTAAGAGATAACATTTGAATTTGAATGCAGAATCGCATTTAGTTTTCCCACCATTTCTATTATTTTCAGGCGCCTCATTATCAAGAAAATTTCCAGAAGATAAGACATCATTAAGATGTTTAATATAGTCCACCGGCATAGATTGTGCGTATTGAGGGTTAACCTCAAGCTTGACTTGCTTAACGTTGCCAGGAAGATAGGAACTTTCTTCTGACTTAAAGTTGTCCAATTCAAAACGGTATGTTCCACCACTTACAGCCACAATCGATACAGCCATAATCAGGAGCCCGAGCGAAATAGGTTTCATCTTGCTGCCGAAATATTACAAACTAATTGGCTTGCAGATATAGGAGCTCGAAATACAATTATCGCTTCCATTTTAATCAATACGCAACGGTGCACTGAGACTAACAGCCTTTGTTATTCAATCATGTAATTTGAACTGCTTAGTTAAATGCTTTAAAAATGTTCCAGTTTTACACCAAATATTTTATTATATTTTCCTTCTAAGATCAAGAATGAATATACACAGGTGGGCCCCATATATTCACAGATGCAATTAGACAACTGAATAAATATACTCTCTATTCATTTTGAAACAGATAACAGCAACATTTTTTTGAAAGGTAAATTTATTATGACTCTTGGTTTTTATTTCGATGAAAGTCTTAAAGTAAAAATACAAATATATTCGTATTTCATAACCCATATGATGTACCCTTTTATTATTCTTTCGCCTTTTGAAAAGGTTCAAGACATTTGCAATTGAACCTCTTATGCTTAGCCCTATATCTATGCGTTTTCTTATGATCCTCGAGCTCCTCGCTACTTGATGACTCTTCAGTGCTTGCGTATGCAGTAGAAACGTCAAAGGCATTATCAAGAGGCCCATGTCTAGGGTTTTCCTTATGTTCGGTACTTTCGCTTAAAGAATAAAGCCATGATGATTCTCCGTCCATAAGGTGATGCCACCTTGCACGGTATTTGCCGCATGGGCAAGCAGTTGGGGTTTCACCCCCCTTTACACTATTCTTTTCTATATTGGATTCAGTCGAACCCTCCATAGTCCCAGCCGTCATAGCCATCAGAAATGGTAAAATCCACACACATCCCATCCTGTAGCAGATCAATTATACACTGATTAGGTCACTCTTAAGTGAATTACATTTAAATCCTTTTCGGTTACATAAGAGACTTTGCGTAAAACGCCACGGTGAAACGAAACTAATGATCGACTTGTACATAATTATACCCGGTCTCCATAGAAAAAAGGGGGAATATTAGATTGGCTTAAACCAATATAACAGCTACTGACAAATATTCCGATTGGATACTACTTAATAAGAGGAACGAGGCGAGTCGAGCCTTGATTTTCGATCAATACTAAACGAGTGTAAGTCAAATACAGATACGCATGACCAGATGGCTTTGTCTGTGTTAATGCTTCTTTTGCCAATTACAAACATATACAAAGCTTCAGTACACCTTTTTTAGCCTTATTCAGTAAGTGAAGGGTATAATATGGTGTGTGGGTGGTGACAAAAGTTAATTCAGCTGGTGTCGCTTGCATAACGAGGCGCTTATAAATCAATCAAATACTTCCTGATTTTAGACATTTAAAAATGTTTTAGTTAAAAAGCCTCAGGTTTTAAATACCCGATATATGGAAAATCACTTAAGTTTTATGTACGTTAGAAAGTTTTTATTATAACATTTTCATCCATTTTCTAGGTGCAATGTATACAAAATAGCTTGTGCCACACTTTTATGTAGCTACAAATACCAAAAGCTTGCAGCACAAATTTGAGGAAACTTCAAAATAGGCAGCCAAAAGCAAGAGGTATGTATTAACGCAAAGAAAATATAGAGTTTTTGACTAGGAAATACCTTATACCAGGAAACCCTTAAAATAAAATATTCTTAATCTTTATATACTGTACGAGACCCTTGATGCCCGAAACTCTTGCTTAAAAATCGATATTTATCGATATTAAAAATTAGGTCAACATTCAGAAAATAAATTTAAAACATATATGTATATTTCGAATTTCAAGTCTAGTGCTTTCAAGATCAAAAGATGGAAAGACGAACGGGTATAAATATTCGTAATTTGTCCTCCTGACAACCATCATACCATCTTTAACCAGATGTAGGGTATAAAAAGCTGGAGTTTGGCAAATTAATTATAAAAGATTCCGCCAAGTTAAATATTTTGCCAGAGTTAAGTTGAGAGTTGCGAGCGGACGCGCCAGTGCGAGGGAGCCCCATTGTAAAATAAGTTGCCAGTAACTTGACGCACATTTGTCACACACATTGCCCTGCCAGCAACAGGAAAGGGGTTAGAAACGGGCTGAATATGGATCCATGACTACGTCTACAGGTGGCAACGGTAGTGCTGCCAGGCGCTTGTCACTTGTGGAATTTGCGTGGCCCCAGCAGCTGGGCGGTTGACTGCCCCTTCGCTCCCAACTCCAAGCCCACTGATATATGGCACTTTGAAATTAGTATGAGTGCAAAATGTAGAACGAACAGCAGGGCACATGGTTGGCATTTTTCAGACTCAGCAGAAAAATTGTGCATAATATGTATTACTTTGTCATAGTATTCCAAATGTCATGGATAAAGAATAAGACGAAGCACTACCAGACACAATATACCATACTATATACAACTACATATATGGGACTCGAAATGTTGCACTTTTGTTGACTTTTTTATACCTAAAAACATTTAGGTCGTGTACAATCTACGTTCAAGATAATTATAATCTTGCCTTAAAATGCATTACAAGCATACATACATATAAGATATTTTGTGCCCCTCTGAATTTAGGGATTCTCAGCCCGTTTAAGATACCGCCTTCTAGTATCTCTGATATTTGAGCCTGTGTTGAGTATCAAATTTTATGTTTCTGTGGAAAAACATTTTTCTTTACAGCTAATTATTTTTGGAATAAGATTTGAATGACATATTATTGCTCTTAAAATATCACAGCCGCTGTCTAATGTATGCAATTATAGGGTGCGTGCTTTTATATATATGTATGTATGTACATAAATGTACATGAATGTATGTACATATCTATATACATACCTAATTAATTATTACACAATTAAAATTAGCACAAAATACCATGTTCAAACGACACTATTCAAACCTTAAAAGGTTTTACGTTTGTGAAGCAAGTTTAATTTGAATACAAATTTCTCAGAATAATCGTGTTCGTAGTAAAACCCTGAACACAAATGAGCATGAGCATGGCAATTGAATATTCTGCCGTATTTCTGTATAATTCTATAGTGAATTGTCTTGAATTGCGTCTTATGATTTCAAAGTCGAATAACGTCATCAGCAGAAATTGAAACATGCCAGTTTAAATGCACATTAGAATAGCTCGATAATATGTACTTTATTTCGACAATAAGTTATAGATACTCGTGAAAAAGTAGCATATAAAATGTGTTTGAGCAGCTACTGACAAATAATTTTGAGTATATGCAAAGCTGTATGCAGTGTAACTGCTCACATTTCATTTAATATACTAGAAATGAATATTGCCCAGGGTGTGCTCTAGATCTTCCTGTAGCTTCCTCATTTGAAAGTTGAGCCGCTCATTCAGTTCCTTTTGCAGGTGTGCAATGTCTTCCTGAACCTTGGCAGCCTGTCGGGCAGCATCCTCCTGAATCTGCTTTCTGTTCACATATGAATTGCGATCGCCGCTGAAGAGTCCGCCATCGGCCTTGGCCAGCACTGTGCCATCAGCCAGCTCCACAACAATGTTGCCATTCTCGTACTGGACTGTAGCTTCTTGGCCATTGATATTGATCTTCTCCTGGGAACTGACGCTAGCATCTTTAGCCGGAAAATCATACACCTGACCGCCGGTGGTCAGCTGCAGACCGCCGTTGACAATACGAATCTGGTGATTGTTGTATGTCTGGTAGCCACCCTCTCCAGCCTGGTTCATTACCAATGCGCCGCCATTGCTCGAAATAAAACTCGAGCCACCAACACTCCTTCCATTGATGACAACGTTGTTGCCGTAGTTGCCGCTAAATCCCGATTGAGTATCATCATCGTCATCCTCATCGCTGTCATCAGCTCCAGTTACAATCGTCTGGCCGCCAGCTCCAACCAATACCTTACGTCCATCGGGGCGCGTGTAGATGCTACCAGCTTCGTTTTGCAGCACAACATTTCCTCCTTGATTATACAGATAGCTGGACACCGGCTGAGCTTGCGTCGGCGGGGTTGGCAGCTCCGCTGTGCCGGCTATGGATTTATCCGTCGAGGTTGGTTGAGCTGCAAATTTTTAAATTTTGTAATAAGTCGCAGGTCTTTGCAGAAATACTTGAGTGCTTACCGCTGGCCAAGCAGACGGCGAGTGCAACTAGCCCGATCATCATCAGAGCGCGATACGTGTCCATTTTGTGCAACGGGTTGACTATATCAATGCAGTGCTAAAAGCCCCCTATTTATACAAGCGATCGATCGAGTATTATATGTTGTTTATTAAATATACTACGTGGGTAGATATCAGACAGAGGTCAGCGGTGCAGCCTCTGGGAAAAAGCCAGAGACGATTACGGCGTTGCGCTTCCACACGATTTGCGGTTACCGCTCGAACTGAGATCGTCTCTAAACTGACTCCCGTTTTCGACTCACACCTCACAAACGACAAAACTTTGGGTGTCACTCAGTGCTACGAACTAGGTGACGAATTGCTGATGAGTAACTCAACCGAGTGCACATCAATTAAACTGTCGCACGAATTCCATTTGACAAAAATTGAAATAGGTAAATAATTGAGAGCGACGCGATAAGTACCAAAAATAATAAAAATTAAATACAATTGGTATTCAGGCTTATTGTAAAAAAAAAATTCTTTTTTTTTTTTGTTTTGATAATATAGTTTTAATTTTTACCCCAATGAATTTTACTGTGTAAATGTTGACTATATATATTTATTTATGTTTGTTAGATGCATATACATACATATATTTTTTTCGTCTTAACTGATCTAGCCTACATACATATAAAGTATATTTATATGTATATACCTGCTAGCACTTGGGAAATCCCTTTCGTGGCAAATATTTGCATTTGTACTTAAGTCAATACTCGTTTCTTTGGATTTGCTCGTTCATACTTGGGTCAGAAGTGTATCGCTCAGATGGGGAATACACAATATAATCTGACGGCTTATCAGTTCGTAAGACAAAGAGAGAGAGTTTGTATGTATATATATATATGTATGTATATGTGTGAGTGTGTGTATTTACTTACAACAAACACAATGATATTAAATGTAAACTTGAAAAAGCTGAGCTCTATACAGGCCGTACTTAAAATGCCCTTTCCAGGTGAAAGAGTAATCGAATCTTTACTTATATATATAATCAAGCATTAAATTGAGTTATTTAATTCGAAGTTTTAAGCTGGCCTTAAGTCAAACCATCTACTCAATTTTTAGGTAGGCAATACATAAATCTAACATAAAACGTTAGACCCGAACCATATCAAAACAATTAAAAGAATCATATTAAGCATTAAGCCACAGACACAAAAATAAACTGTCTTACAAATAACAAGATTTGTAGTATATATATTTATTATCTATTTGAATTAGACAAACCAAACTTTAATTCATACATTAAGAACCAATGAAAGAAACCAATCAAAGAACTCATAATACCAGGTTTACGAACAGAAACCTAAGCTTAACTTCGTTCGAGGCGTAGGTCGAACATTTCTTGGTTCTGGACTTGAAAATATTATTCAAAAGTGAACCTCAGTCGATAAACAGTCCTCTCTTAACAACTGATGAGCTTTACTTATTGGTAATTATTAAATAATATGAAACTTGGTATATTATGAAATTGGTATAGTACTATTTCGTTTATTAGATAAAATTCTTTGATGCATTACACATAAGACGACAATATTAATACTCCTTAATAATTAAAGACAGTCAACCAAGTTGAGCAATATTCACAAATTAATTCCGGTAATTATATAAACGTAAATCATCTGCTGATGAGTGGCAATATTGTTCGTCGATCTTTAATTTACTACACCCACAACAAAAAGAAAGGCATGAAAACAGCAATTAAAAAATATATTTAATTGGATCATATCATTAATCAGGTCCAAAAGTCAACTAGTAGCGCCATTTGCCGTTTGAATGTAGAATTATATTATCGGTTGACTGATCGCTTCCACCGTTCCAGGCTGGTCCGCCGCTGGGTCCCCGGTTCGCAGAGGGGCCCCAATTAAACGAAAAGGGCAGGCCATTGACATCTGTTATATAACATTCACATAAATATATATGCACATAGGAAATGCAGAGGACAACTTACCGCTGAGCAGTGCAACGAGCAACCACAGCAGGAAAATAAATTGATGGCTATGCAGCATGGTCAAGGCAAGAAGCTCAAATGAATGAATTTTAAATAATAACGCGAATTTATACAAGAGCATATACAGAGCACCCGCGGGACAAGTGGAGACTCGGACAATGTCTTGGGGCAGACAGACAACCTAAGTAAATGCATAATGCGATTGATTGTGTCTGCTATCACTGTCTACACATCAAAGTATTTGTTTTCGATTTTGTATTCCCTGTACTTATTGGAAGTCACTTAGAGAAGGGTATATATCGATGATAGACCATCTGCCTATTTGTCTGTATGTTCGTAGAAAAAATATAAGCTACATATCTTATATCAGAAGAACAATCCTATAATTTTATTCGATATCTCGCTCCATTTCTATATTACTGTTAAAAAATTATTTTAAAATAAAGTATGTAAGCGTATTCAAAAGGGTATGGGAGTTAGAGACACGAAATTAAATCTTTAGGTTATTGAGCAGCCAGAATATTTCACACTCGATAGCCGAAATCATGTATCAATGATAGCGCCTTGCTTAGTTTACACACAGAGTTCTTATGTTATATTTAAGCCTTGTGAATTTCATAACGATCGGACTATATACACCGAAGATATTTAAGAA